GCCCCTCAGATCTTTGCGATTTAAAGCTCGGAGTGGCACTGTAACTGTTATGGCCAGGCGTGTAGCTTACCATCAGGCGCACGACTTGTTCGTTCCGTTACTTGATATTACAAAAAAAAGTTTGAATTAATTTGTAATCTATTTAATCTAAATATTTATTGGTATGGTTCATATTTAAACGGGTATTCTGTTTACAACTGCATAAACGGCATTGCAAAAACTCAGTAAAAAAACTATTACTAATAATTCAAGAAATATAATATGGATGAAATTGGGCTCTGTTACAATACAAAAGTCTAAAATCAAAGGTTAGTTGTCATAGCGTCACGCACGGTTTGTTGGAAGACCCAGCCGGTTCGAAAGAATTTTTCCTAACTTTCTAATTGCCTCTGTGGCCAAACGGTTACCATGCCGGACTGCCACGCAGAGGTCCCAGGTTCGATTCCCGGGCCAGGAGAAATATTTGTATGGCCTACGTTTATTTCTCTCGTGAGTTTGGGTGTAATTTGTGGTTGTCTAAGTATGTGTCCATGGCACCTGCGACACAGGGTTTCCTTAGTGCGGGTTATGTTGAGTGTGTGCGTTATTATTCTAAGTGTTCGATCTTTGTATTAATAATTTTATAACAAACTAGTGGAGTAATTTTCTAAAGTTCTATTCTATTCTATTCAATAAACCTAAAAAAATGCAAATAACTGTCAATCGGACGATTTCCATTGAATTGTAATTTAAAATTATCTTTTTCCTAAAATTAGTTATTACAATGAGTGTTAGTGGTCACACTCATTGTAATAACTAATTTGTAATATAACATTTAGTGGAACAAAAAAAGTGTGAAGTGTAGAAAATAGTAATGTTTGTGCTAAATTTTATTTGGACATTAAATAAATAAATAAAATAAAAAGACATTTATTTGTCCATAAAACACATAAACAAACATAACCGAACAATTAAAACAAAAGAACCGTAATGTGGAGAAAAAGGATGAAGACTCAGCATTGCTGATTTTCAGGCTTCACCTAAACCTATTGGCTTGCTGCGTCAGACCGGCAAGCGCATTATATAGCATTTGAATTGACAAATTTTAAGATTGACTTTAACTATTGAAAACAATCGCAATTAAACAAAATGCATGGGCCTACTGATCCAGCGCACATAGGTAAGATATTTCCAGTATTTGTTGAACAAACGTTAGTATTACAATTAAATAGGGTCTATTATTAACATGTTCATCATTTATTTTTTTCAATCCTGAATGGTTAAATATAGCATCATTTATGTCAGGGTTCTATGTTATACATAGGTCACTACACAGGATTAATGCGGGATGGACTTCACAATATCTTCGTTGAACTTAACATGCAATTCACGTTTGCTGTCATAATAAAAATGTTCCAATAACCGTATATATTTCATGGGGGATTTTTCGCGGCTATATATAATATATTAATAATAATAAAATAATAATAAAATTTCTTTATTCGGACAACTACGGTCCACTTGTTAGTAATTACAGAAAAACTTATAAACTAAGGTTAGTAGTAACTAAAATTAAACAGAACCTAATTAGGACATTTCACGTTAGAAATTTGTAAAATTTTGACAATAAAAGTTAAAAATTAAAAAATTAAATTAAATTAAAATTATTTTTAAAAAGTACAAATAAAAATTTAAAAAATCAAAAATTAAATTTAAAAATGAAAGTATGAAAAATTTACCAATTAAAAAATAAATAAAATAAAAATGAGTAAAACATATACCGCATGCTTGAGCTATCTTTGTCTTTATCTAGGCGTAGGTGTGGCTTGCCACACCAGCACGTCAACAAAATGCTCAAGCATGGGTTCCGCTGTTTTGTGCGCAAACATTTTCAGAATGCTGTTGGAACTGCCACGCATTCTGAGCAGAAGGGATGCGGTCTTTTTTCTCAACATGCCCCAGAAATCGTCTGTCCGCATGTCTGCGAACATGCCCGATGCACTGCAATATCGCGGCAATCCCAACAACACCCTGAAGCCATTATTGTATTGGACACGGAGCGTGTCCAGTACTTTCTTAGAGTATCTGGCCCACAGAGCGCACGTGTAGAACGTTTGGCAGTAAGCCTTGAATAATGTTAACTTGGCCTCGTTGCTACAACGCGCAAATCTGTGGGCCAGCATGTTACATTTAGCAGCTAGCGCTCGTCGCTCACGCTCAATGTCGGCATGATCTTTGAGGTCTTCGGAAATATAATGCCCTAGGTATTTAAATAGTTTCACTCTTTTTAGAGGTACGTCTTTCAATTTTATAACAGGCTCGTAGGTGACATTATTTCCTCGGGCCTCAAAGATCATGTATTCACTTTTTTTGGCGTTATAAACCAGGCCGTGATCGCCGCAGTACTTAACACAAATGTCAAGAAGCTGCCTGACAGAGCCGGCCGAGGGACCCAGCAGCACCATATCGTCTGCGTAACTAAAATTATTGACGGGTAATCCATCTATCCAGCAGCCGACTGGTCTGCCACTGAGTCTCACGATCAGCTCGTTTACGTACAGGTTGAAAAGTTTCGGTGAGGTAATTCCCCCTTGTCTCACCCCGCATTCCAACCTGTACGTGTCAGACAACGTCTCACCCCATTTGACATTATTGTCCTGATGGCAATACCAATAACGCAATAACGCTATAATTTCTTCCGGTACGCCCGTCCCTCGAAGCTTATCCCATAGAAGGTCATAGCATACCAGGTCAAATGCCTTAGAAAGATCCAGAAAGCAAGCGTATACAGGTGTCTTTCTGCATGAGTAGTATTGGACAGTCTGCTTTAGACACAAGATGGCGCTTTCGGTAGATAATTTAGGCCGAAACCCAAATTGAGCGTCATGAAGATTGATAAATTGATCCAAACTTGAGTCCAGCAGACAATCCAACACCTTTGCCATCACTGTTGCCAAGGAGATCGGTCTATAATTATCAACGTCCGAAATATCGCCTGTTTTATTCTTTCCTTTTTATTAAAGTTATTTGTTATCTAATATTAACAAAACTTATTTTATAAGTTAATGCTTATCACAGGTAATAATTTATTTACGATTTTTGGTATGTGTAATATTTAATTTTCAATTTTTGTTAGTTTAATTATTTCATAACTATGACATAGAGAGTTATAGGTAGAGATTACATTTTGAGTCTTGAAAATAATTTCAAAATTTCTGAGTAATCGACAAGTACTTGTAATTTCTGGGATGTTTTGATTTGGTGCCTATTATCATTCATAACAAAACTGCATATTGAATTCATTTGTATAGGTAATTTCGTTACGGCAATTTTAAAAATTTAATTGGATTTAATTATTTTTCAAAAAAAGTAATATATAGTACACATATCGAGTGTTTCTTATGTTTCCGCGAATGTTACACTTTGAAAATGACAGTTTTTTTGGATTTAAATCGCGTATTGTTTTTTCATATTTACAATTGTTTTTTCAAACAAATGAATCATCATTTTCAATATGTGGTATAGCTTAATGCGATTTATGTTGCTTAGGACATTTAAATTTTTTTAAATTATTGTTTAAAAAAGGATACATATACTGAAATTTCAATGTTCGTGAAAATTGAAACTAAACTTTATTGGAATGAAGCAACTATTAAACTTTTAGGAACGTTGGTTTTTATTTGTTTATTTAAAGTAAGAATCTCTTTTTTCTGATGCTAACCTAACTTAAACCCACAGGAGGGGGTCGAATCAGCTCGGAAACGTAAACATTTCAACGCATGTCATTTCTGACTAATATTTAAAATATTTTGTTTTTCATTTCATAATACTTTAATCTACGGCCGGCATTCCATACAATGCCTAGACTTCGTATT